GCTTGGTTGGCCCGGGCGACTCACGACCCAGGATTTGATCCCCGGACCGCTCGCGTGGTAAGCGTGCCACTTGCCACTACACCACTTCCGCCCTTTCCAGGAACATATGATCAACAAAAGCAAAACTATCTTGAAGTCGCGTTTCTAAACTCCAAAAAGCCATTTTTAGCTCTCCGACAAGACGAAGAACGAGATGGTGGCCGCTGTGAACGACATCGAAGATGGCCGTATAAAGATCCCGAACAACGTTCCGAAAATCATGGACTACGTCGCAAAACGGTAGAAAATACAGATTGTGCACTTCCCAATCAACTGAGTTACAGTCTTTGTGCTGTTTTGATTCCAAGCTTCGCCCAGGGAAAAGGACGCTGTGACAGTATCACAACTTCTCTTAAAAGTATTCGATAATCCATCTTACAGAACACCAGAGCTTGGAGAAAACGTTGATAAAGCCATGGACAGACTCATGGACAACATGAACAAACTGACGTCATCCACCAGGAAAGGCTTCAACATGGTAGGCAGAGATACATTTTCTTGATTTTTGCAAGGACAGGAGTCATATGCACCACTCATCGTTATTCCGAATCGTGCGATATCCCTGTAGACTTCAAAAATCTATGGAAACGCCGCCCACGGCCAACTGTACGCTACTAACCATAAGAGCAATGGGGAAGATGTTGTACTTGTACTTCCGGTGGGCTGGCCCTATTTCTGTTGTTTTTCAACTCTCAGACAAGAAAATTGAGATGGTGGCCATTATAACATTGATTGTGGGAAGTATTCGTGGGAAGGGGACTTGTTGAGATCTTAAAGGCAAACTCCGAATGGTGTGGAAGAGCGTTCGATAATGAGGGGGTGGGGAGTGGTCTAGAAAAGAAAAAGGAAGCAACTCCCGAAATACGCACTGAACAAGGCTCCCACCTCTCAACTGCATTTACCCTGAGATGGAGGAGGGGCGGGTTCGGACGAGTTTCGCGAGCTGCTTGCTCCAGTTGCTCCAGCGCTAATGACATCGACCACAATACTAACGCTGCCGCAACCGCGGCCGCTACAGCGGAAGTCAGTACTTGCGGACAAACGGTTTACGGACTACTTGATTTTTCCTCAATGGTCCTGCCGCGATGGCTAGAGCACAGACGATTAGAGAACGGGTGCCCTAGGACTAAGCCTTGGAGAGGAGAGGGACCCGCGAGAGAGCGCAGAGGCGGTTTAAAGGGCTGAGTTCAAGTAGTCCGTCAACCGCGGGCAAAGGTGGGGATTGCGGGTCCAACGATCTTCTAGCGCCATTACCGCACACTTTCGAGCTGCAAAGGAAGCACTACACAACGCTTGACCGCATGTATACCACAATCGTGGATGAAACAGGTAAGTCTACCCAAGCCTAGACCGCACCTTTAAAGGGTGTCGCGGTGGTAGTGGAAGCTGAAGACGTCGTAGGGGAAGAGCGAGAAACGATCGAATACCAAACGATTCATTG